GATGGTTTTGAGAAAAGGGAAGCCTTTTACACTGTTGGTGGGAATGTAAATTGGTAAAACCACTATGGAGAAGAGTATGGATATTCCTTAAAAAACTCAAAATAGAGCTACCACACAATGTAGCATCCCCACTCCTGGGCATGTGTCCAGAGAAAATCATTATTTGAAAAGATACATGCACTCCAATGTTCACTGCAGCTCTACATTAGCCAAGACAGGGAATTAACCTAAATATCCATCCACAGAGGAATGGATAAGGAAGGTGTAGTATGTATACACAATGGAATATTTCTCAGTCATAAAAAGAATGAAATAATGCCATTTGCAGCCAACATGGATGGATCTAGACATTATTGTAATAAATGCTGTAAGTCAGACAAAGACATATGCAGTATGATATCACATATGTGGAATCTAAAAAGATGCTATGAATGAACTTATTTATAAAACAGAAACAGCCTCACAGACTTGGAAAACAAACTTATGGCTACCAAAGGGGAAAGGTTGGGGGACGGATAATTAGGAGTTTGGGATTAACACATACACACTATTACATATAAAATAGATAATCAACAGGGACCTAATGTAGAGTACAGCAAACTCTACTCAATATTCTGTAGTAACCTATATGGGAAAAGAATCTGAAAAAGAATGGATATATGTAGATGTATAACTGAATCACTTTGCCATACACCTAAAACTAATACAACACTGCAAATAAACTATACTCCAATGTCAAATAAAAATTATATTTAAAAAGTATTTATAAGCTGTTCCCAAGCAATAAAAACTAAACTTAATAAATGCACTCATTAAAAAAGGTTAAACATCATGACAAAGTGGGATTTATCTCAGGAATATAAAAGTTATTTAACATAAGAAAATTAATCAATGCAATAATTGTTTTAACAGAATTAATTTTAAAATGCACCATCATTTTGATTGATGGAGAAAAGGCATTTGACAAAATTCAATATTCTGTCATAATAAAAACTCCCAGTAAACAAATAGAAAGGAACTTCTTCAGTATGATAAAAGAAACTCACAGCTAACGTCATGTAGATTAGTAAAATAATGAAAGTTTTCCCCTTAAGATGAGGAATAAGAAATGATGCTGGCTTTCATCACTTACCTTCAACACTATAAAATTTCTAGCCTGAGCAAGTAGGTAAGAAAACAAAATAAACAGCATCAATATTGGAAAATGAAAAATAAAACTAACTCTACTTGCAGATAAAAAGAATAGCAACTTACTTTAAAAAATGAACACAGGACTTCAATAGACATTTCTCCAAGGAAGATATACATATGGCCAAGAAGAACATGAAAGGATGCTCAATATCATTAGCTGTTATAGAAATGTAAGTCAAAACAACGAGATAACACTTCACACCCACTTGTATGGTATAATATTTTTGTTATAAAAAAAAGTAACAAATGTTGGTGAGAATGTGGAGAAACCAAAAACATTTATATTGTTGATGGGAATGTAAAATAGTACAGCTTCTATAAAATACAACTGCAATTCTTTCCAGTTAAAACATACAATGTGACCCAGCATTTCCACTTCAAGGTATATACTCAAAATCATGGATCATGAGTATTCAAACAACTACTTGTATGTCAATGTTCATAGCAGGACTATTCATGATAGCAAAATATAGAAATAACCAAAGTATCCTAAAATAAATGGATGAATAAACAGAATGCAGTCTATCTATACAATGGAATATGATTCAACCACAAAAAAGAATGAAGTTCTATTACCTGCTGCAATGGGAATGAACCTGAAAATATTACGCAAGGTAAAATAATCACAGGAAGCTCACACATCAGGTGATTCTATTAAGATGAAAGTGTTAGTCACTCAGTTCAGTTCAGTTCAGTTGCTCAGTCGTGTCTGACTCTGCAACCCCATGGACCGCAGCACGCCAGGCTTCCCTGTCCACCACCACCTCCCGGAGTTTACTCAAACTCAGGTGCATTGAGTCAGTGATGCCATCCAACCGTCTCATCCTGTCGTCCCCTTCTCGCTCAGTCATGTCCAATTCTTTGTGCCAGGCTCCTCTGTCCATGGGATTTACCAAGCAAAAATACTGGAGTGGGTTGCCATTCCCTTCTCCAGGGGATCTTCCTGACCCAGGGGTCAAACTCAGGTGTCCCCACATTGCAGGCAGATTCTTTCCAGCCTGAGCCAATCAAAACAGGCAAATTCATAGAGACAGAAAGCAAGTTTCCAGGGGCTGGTGGGAGGTAGAAATGTTGAGTGACTGTACAGTTTCCTTTTCTGAGGTGAAATGTTTTGGTAAGAAAGAGGTTACGGTAGCACACTATTTTGAATGTACTAAATGCCATTTGAATTGTACAATTCAAAATGCTTAATTTTTGTTACATTATTTTAACCTAAAACAATGTATTTTTGAGTGATTTGTTATGAAGCCATGGTAACTAGAACATCTCTAAAACATTTTTGGCTCTCCAAGGTCACAATGTTACACTTGTACATTTTATTTTAGACATTTCATTGTTCTTGTTTCTATCTGTAGGTCTATGACCCATATCAGATTGATTTTCAGCATGAATTAAGGTATGAATCAATGTGTGTATTTTTCCATATGAATCAATGTGTGTATTTTTCCATATGAATATCCAGTGTTGAAGGGACTGTTTCTTTTCTTACTGTATTGCTTAGATGTCCTTGTGAAAAACCATTTGACTGCATATGTAGGTTCTTTTTTTACTTTTTATTAAGGTCAATTGATCTATTTTTCCATCCTTTCTCCAAAATCACACTGTCTTGATAACTACAAGTTTTATAAAAAGACTTGAAGGCAGGCAGGGTAAATTCTCCAAGCTAGTTCATGTTTTTCAAGATTGCTTTAGAAAATCATGGTCCTTTGCCTTTCCAAATCAATTTAAAATAATACAGTCAATTTCAAGGACCTGTAGAGTTTGGAAAGCAATTGCACTTATTTCAATAAGAGGTTGCCATTTGTTTCTCTGTTTCCTCTTTTCTTGTCCTTGTTTTGGTAGACTAAATCAAAAAAATTGGGGCATCCTATTTTAATAAACTTATTAACATTTTATTTATTCTTTTTCATGCTTCTTTCTAGTGGTGCTTTATATATTACAACATACAACTGTGACTTACCAGTCTATGTTCAAAAGATATTCTATTATTTCAGGAATAATTTATGTTTAAACAATATATTTCTAATTAATAACTCTGAATCCTATAATCTTAATGTCATGTTTATTATCTCTATATATAATATTAAAAATGCATGAGACTGTGTTAATAATTTTCCTTTAAAAAGCTAATAGTCCAGTGGAGCCAGAGGTTAAGAGTAGGTCACCTGAAGAGAAAAGATATTAGATGCCAGTTCACCAGTAACATTTTGTGCCTACAGAACATCCCATAAACAGCAAAGTCTCTGCAAAATGATGGACCTTACAGCATTCTGTCCTCTAAGTGCTGAGATCCAGGACTTGGCTCTTTAAAATTAGGAAACTCTAGGGTTATGTATTCGGAGAAGGGAATGGCACCCCTCTCCAGTACTCTTGCCTGGAAAATCCCATGGACTGAGGAGCCTGGTAGGCTGCAGTCCATGGGGTCGCTACGAGTCGGACACAACTGAGCGACTTCACTTTCACTTTTCACTTTCATGCATTGGAGAAGGAAATGGCAACCCACTCCAGTGTTCTTGCCTGGAGAATCCCAGGGACAGGGGAGCCTGGTGGGCTGCCGTCTATGGGGTCACACAGAGTGGGACATGACTGAGCGACTTAGCAGCAGCAGCAGCAGGGTTATGTATTAATATTTATCGTTGGGAGAGAATGAAGACAGACAGACAGACAGACATTTCCAAGGATAGAAAGAGAAATGTGAGACTGAGAACTGGTTGATTTCATTTATTCCTTTATTCTTTTTTTTCATTTTAACACTATTCATTGAGCCAGGAACTATACTAGATATTACTGGGAATATGGTTGTGAACAACACATTTAAATTTTAAACTTCTAAGCCTTTTTAAAATGTTGGGACCAAATATTATACACCAACCTGGTGAAGCAGTATAATTTAGCTAAAATAATAATTTTAAAGGAACATTTGCAGTTTATAATACTTAACATAATTCTCACTAGAATTTTGTGGCTGATACAATTCTTTTTATGAGTGTCATTGTATAAACATACAAACAAAAAAACTCAAGGAGTTAATTTCAGTTATTTTCACAAATGTTCCAAATTCAGAATCCATTTAGCACATAATGATTTTTCAAAATTTTCAAACAAAGATAAGTATTTTCTATCTGTTCCTTTCTCTGTTTAAATTAAAATCACATATCTCAGTCTGCAACAAACACAAGAAACTGATATTTAAGAACAGCTTTCAGGCTCTTTTGTCTTCCAAGAATAACTGACTTGCAACAAGATCCTAAGCTATATGACATGTTTATGCATATGTGGTGGTAACAGAGCAATGGAAGAACTTAGTGGCTAGAAAGGCAGAGAGAAAGGAGGAGAGGCACTGAGAGAAGGGGTATTTATTGTGGGAGAGAACAAATATACAACCTTCAGTAACAAAGGAGTAGGACTTCAGAGAGATCCTGGATGAAGGATTTTTTTTTAATTTTGTTAAATGTTTTGAAAAGAAACCTTCTTTGCCTTCCCTCTAAAAGATTTAATTTGTTTTTATATCCTTTATTAAATGTAGGGTTGGTATTGTTCTGAATATGATAAAATACTGCAACTGTTCCTGAGAGGTAAGAGACCTGCACCATGAAGTTTACATTCTTAAAAGAATATTATACTCAAAGGTCTAAACCAATCACATATGCTTGAGAATATATGTTAATGCTCAAACAAATGTGAAATTAATTACAATTAATAGGCAGAAATATAAAAAAAAATTTGGTTTCAATTCTTACCTTTTCTTCACTTTACTAACACATACTTAATATACATTAAGTTAATATTTAAATGACAAATTTCCTTACATGATTTTGATTCTGGAGATGGTGGATAAATATTAGACACAGCAAGGTCACTTTTTGACTTTTTAGGCTTCTTTGCACTTAACTGCCAGGGTTTATCATAGTTTCTGAAATCTCTTCTTGTTCCTTTATGTTCTGTCGAACAACAAAAAAAAAACACAATAAAAACAATAAGTGATTTCATGATTGATCAAAAATTAAATCCATGAATTAATTAGATATACCTAGCAAAAACTATGCTGCCTTGTATCAAAATAATGCTAATATCCCAGATTATTACTTGCTTTATTTGTCCTGTAAACGTGAGTTTTGCATTTGATATGAATTAGTTTACATATTAATGTGATTAAAGTGATGTTAAACTGTGAAATTATTTGAAAGTCTTTTTAAGGCACAGATTACTTAAAATAACATTCAATAAATGGGTGTCATGGAATAAAGCATTGTATTTTTCTGTAAATAAAAACAACTAAATGTTTAAGTAAATTTTACTCATCTGATTTTAGCTTATCTGTTATTCATTATGACACATAAAACCACTGGTGCACACATACCTTTCCACCACAGTATTTTTTAGGGAAATTAAATAAATAGACTTGTTTACTCTTCAGAGACAAAACAGAGCAGGCCTCTGACCTTGCTTCTAACCTTCCTGGACACAGCCCTGAGGGAGTGACTGCAAATGACTGGATGACTGCCTGCTGTGACTGCAGGACTTGCAGCACCATAGATAAGATGCAGGGGTGGGGGGGAAGTCTTAAGATTGTGTAGCCCCTGAAGAGGGCCTGAACAACCAAGTCCCAGGCTTTATGTTAAAAAAAAAAAAGGAATACTGGAGTGGGTTGCCACTTCCTTCTCCAGGGTGTCTTCCCAACCAAGGGATCAATCGAGGGTCTTCCACATTGCAGGCAGGCTCTTTACTGCCTGACCCTTCAGGGAATGCTAACACAACCCACCAACCCCTTGGGGAAAAAAAAAAGGCATCACCAAGACCAAAGTCAAGGAGCTTTCCCCCCCATATTTTCTTCTGGGCTTTTATGATTTCAGGGCTTATTGAAAGTTTAATTAATTTTGAGTTAGGTTTTGTGAATCGTTTTAAGATAGGAATTCAGTTTCATTTTTCTGCATGTGGTTATCCAGTTTTTCCTAAATTATTTATTGAAGAAACTATCCTTTCCAATTGAGTGCTCTTGGCTTCCCTGTCAAATATTAGTTGATCTTACACATGTGGGGTGGAAGGGTTATTTTTTGGCTCTTGCTTCTGTTTTAGTGGTCTATACGTCTATTTTTATGCCACTACCATACTGTTTGTCTTCCCTGGCTCAGTCGGTGAAGAGTCTGCCTGTAATGCAGGAGATCTGGGTTTAGTCCCTTGGTTGAGAAGATCCCCTGGAGAAGGAAATGGCAGCCCATGCCAGTATTCTTGCCTGGAGAATTCCATGGACAAACGGGCCTGGTGTATTACAGTCCATGGGGTCACAAAGAGTCAGACATGACTGAGTGACTAAGACTTAGAGTTTCACTTTCATACTGTTTATATTACTATTGCTTTATAGTCTAGTTTGAAATCAGGAAGTGTGATGTCTACAGCATTGTTCTTTTTCAGGACTGCTTTGGCTGTTTTGGGTCTTGTGGGGTTCCATACAAATTTTAGAATTGTTTTTTCTATCTCTATGAAGTAATGCCTTTGGAATTTTACAGAGATTGTTTCAGATTTATATATGGCTTTTTTGGGGGCTCAAAAATCACTGCAGATGGCTACTGCAGCCATGAAATTAAAAGACACTTACTCCTTGGAAGGAAAGTTATGACCAACCTAGACAGCATATTAAGAAGGGGAAACAATGGAAACAGTGAGAGATACTGTTACTTTCTTGGGCTCCAAAATCACTGCAGATGGCTACTGCAGCCATGAAATTAAAAGATGCTTGCTCCTTGGAAGACAGATATGACCAACCTAGATATCATATTAAAAAGAAGAGACATTCAGTTCAGTTCAGTCACACAGTCGTATCCAACTCTTTGCGACCCCATGAACAGCAGCATGCCAGGCCTCCCTGTCCATCACCAACTCCCAGAGTCCACCCAAACCCATGTCCATTGAGTCAATACTTCAGCGCTCAGCTTTCTTTATAGTCCAGCTCTCACATCCATACATAACCACTGGAGAAACCATAGCCTTGACTAGACGGACCTTTGTTGACAAAACTGCCAACAAAGGTCCATCTAGTCAAGGTTATGGTTTCTCCAGTGGTCAAGTATGAATGTGAGAGCTGGACTATAAGGAAAGTTGAGCGCCGCAGGATTGATGCTTTTGAAATGTGGCGTTGGAGAAGGCTCTTGAGAGTCCCTGGACTGCAAGGAGATCAGGCCAATCAATCCTGAATGAAATCAGTCCTGAATATTCATTGGAAGGACTGATGTTGAAGCTGAAAGTACAATACTTTGGCCGCCTGATGCGAAGAACTGACTCATTGGAAAAGATCCTGATGCTGGGAAAGATTGAAAGCAGGAGGAGTAGGGGACGACAGAGGATGAGATGGTTGGATGGTATCACCGACTCAATGGACATGAGTTTGAGTAAGCTCCAGGAGTTGGTGTTGGACAGGGAAGCCTGGCATGCTGCACTTCATGGGGTTGCAAAGAATTGGACACGACTGAGTGACTGTACTGAACTAACCTGAGACTTACAATTTGGTTACAGATTGATGATGATATCAGTTTGCGTCCGTCCTGGGTTTATAAGGGGGAACCCTGAACTGTAATCTCTGAAGTCTCACACACAGAGGTGATGCACTGCCCAGGACCTTTTCCCAATTGGTACCCCAGACTGCTGTCACATGGGACTTCTCTACATTGTTTAAGTCTGAATGGCAGCAAGTCCAATTTGGTGATGTATCTTCTGCTCTATTTCTCTTCTTTTAATGTTAGTATATTGAAAGTAAGTTAGATAATTCTCTGACAAACATTTTTATTATTTATTCATATATAACAAGTGGCTTATTTTGTTAACAAATCCTTTGACCCTGAGACGAAACTGAAAACATTCGGCAAAACAGTATTACTCATTTTTTCCACTGTTCTGTCAAGAAAGAGTAATTCAGTCACCTTTACTGAAAGCTACAGCTCCTCTTCAAAGGTGGTCAGTATTTTACCAACTTTCAAATGAAATGATCTTTCCAGGAGTTCATCCCTCTTGACATCTTTTCATCCCATATTTTTAGACAGACTCTATCGTGGAGCTTTTTCTTATTTTATTCTCAGGGCATTACATCCTCCTTATCCCCATATCACCTACCTAACTGCACCTTGTCTGTCTTATTCATTGTTTCCTTATCTTTTATCTAAATGACATTCCTTAGCTTCCTTCCTTCTACCTTCCTGTTTAAATTTCAATATTTTCAAATCATCCTAGCTCTATGCATGATTCATAAATCTTTCTCTGGCTACCCACTTATAAACACCAAGTAGACATCATGAAATATTACAGAGATTCCTCAAATTCTCATGTTAAGTTTGTACTTAATGAGTTGTTATCCAGTTTTTCTACTGCAAATATCCCATTAAATACCAAAAAAGGTATAAATATTCTAAAATACTAGTAACAGAAATATTGGTCTATGAACAGAAACACTGTTCTGCATTCTGCCATAGACAGTATTAAGATAAAAGATAGACATATCAGAAATAGATTGAAAAATATCTAGACATTCACAATGCTTGCCCCTACCTCAGATTCAGCTCCTTATATTGTTTCACAGTCTATCAGAATTTGTCTTTCTATATTCAGCCTAGGACCATAGTTTCTTCTAATGCAACACAGCTAAAGGAATTAAGAATCATTACCAGTCAAGGAGATAAAAAAAGAATCATGGACACAAAACACAGTATCTCATGATACAAAGAAAAACCAAAAGCAGCCATAGAAGGATAATACACTGGATTTTGCAGCTTTTAAAATTCTCCACTATGAAAGAAAAAGAAATCCACATTAATTTGAATATCTTAGCAGTGATACTGTTCTTAGTTAATGTGTTGAAAAGAGCTGTGAGACAGAAAGTCACTTGTCAGTATCTCAAAGACCTATAGGATCTGACTGACACTACAAGTAGTAGCAGCCGTGATTTCACCTGTCTCCCCCAGATTTTTTAAAACTTACCTAAATAGTTCTAAGCTATATGGTAAGGGAACAAAAAAGAAGAAAATAATAAATACCTACACTATTTATTGACAAACCTAAAACTAGATGGACTTCTCCCATGGCTCAGCAGTAAAGATCCTCCTGCCTGCCAATGCAGGAGACAAAGGTTCGATCCCTGGTTTGGGAAGATCACCTGGAGGAGGAAATGGCAACCCACTCCAGCATTCTTGCCTGGGAAATCCCATGGACAGAGGAGCCTGGAGGGCTGCAGTCCATGGGGTCACAAAAGAACAGGATGTGACTTAGCAACTAAAGAAACAAAACTAATTAGAACATTCTTCATTTAAATTCAAATAAACAAAATAAATATTTTAACAAAGAAGATTCCAAATAAAAGGCAAGAATACATCACTCAAGATAGAGAAGAAATTCATAGTTTGAGGGAAGATTTACTATGAAAGAACCTTTAAATTTTAGAATATGGCTATTTTATCATCTTAATACAAATAAAATAGGCTCTGTGAAGCAAAAAGAAGTGAGAAAAGAGATAAAACTGTAAAACTATAATTGATAAGGTAAACGAAAGAAGATAAAGAATACTGACAGGAAATTAAAATGCAGTGTGTACCAACATTTAAATCTGTATAGAAAGCCAGAAAGAGAAAAGCAATACTGCAGAAAACTGAATCAGTGACAGGGACAACACACTTGACAAACATCCCTAGAAGTTATTAATAAAGTAAAGAAAACAATTTACACATAGCTGATTTTTCTGAAGAAATCAAAACAAATACAAGAGAAGCATTAAGTACACAGGAAGACAACTATTCTAGGATAAAGATGCAGGTTTGCTAATTGAAAGGATTCACTGGATAAAATGAAAAATAAGAAAAGAGGCAAACATCCAGATGTGTTCCCAGTAAAACTCTTGAATATCAGAAATGACGAAAAAAACAAATCCCGTAAGTGTTTAATAATAGAGCATCTAAGAATA